GGGGGGGGGGGGGGCGGCTTAAATATAACTTAACCTCTGGTTGTCTTCATCTTTGTATCTGTTTTTAGCATGATTGAAAGTGCCCTTTATCCTATGATAACCAGTCTATCAGCATTCGCATGAATGGCTTGCTTTACTAATTCCTAATCTTTCTTTTATAACCCTATATCATTTTACTATCTTTTCTGTCAGGGCTTTTATTGCTTGCTTTCTGACTTCATCTGTAGCCTCAAATTGAAAGGCTTTTTCTATTATTTTAGTTCAACAATCTCTTATGAAAAATACTAAACACCAACTATTTGTATTTCCACATTCGTGCATCCCTTAAATACACCCTTTGCCAAGATTCTTCCCCTGTTCCGTGTTCTTTTTATTCAAATCACATTTTTAAGTCAACTGCTATGTGCCAGGCAATGTACTAATCTTGGAGAATACCAACATAAATATAACAGAACTTGGATGGAGTGTTTACAAATTACCTTATGATATCTGTGCAGTGTAGAAATATATGCACAGGGAGCTATTGGAGCTCAGAGGAGAAGCATTAATCCAATTTAGGTTGGGGAGAGGTCATGAGTTGGGAAGGACTTCCAGGAGAAAATGAATACAGAGAGTTAATGAAGTGAGATGTGTGGCTGTGGTGGTGGGGAGGAGCAAAAGGGGAAAGAATTGTTTGAACAAAAGGTATGCAGTGAGAGACTGATCTTTTCCCTGAACTAAATAGCTAAGAGCACTTTGATGTTACTGATTGGGGATGTGAAGCTAGAGAAGTTGGCAAGGATCATGGTGAGCCTCTGAAGGAAAGTCAGATCAATTCAAGTAGTATTTTTATTATTATTATTATTACATATTAAGTGTGTGCAAGGCACTGTAGTAGTTACTGAGAGTGCAATGAAGATTAAGAATCAGTCTTAGCTTTCACGGAGTTTATAATCTAGTAGGGAGAAACAGGCATGTAAAATATCAATAAGTTCCACTAAAGAGTTACAATTGGTGTAGGTACAATGTTGTTTCCGAACCTGGAAGAAGAGAAACGCCTAAATAAGCTAGAGATTTAGGCAAGACTTCCTAGAAAATTATCAATAGAAGAATGTAAAATAATCTCTTAAAGAAAATGAGAAAAATTATGATATCTATCACTAGATATCATATCACTAGATATCATATCACCTGAAGTACAGACTACTAGAGTGTAGCACTCGTTGATCTAATTGTCAGATTACTTGGGTTCTCATTCTAGATTCTTCAGTGTGTAGTCTTGAGAATCTCAACTTCTCTAGACCTTAGTTTTCTCTCACATGTAACAAGAGAATCAGATTATATAGAATTTAAATTCCTTTAGAAATGTCATGAATCTGAATTTATTTCCCCAGGTTTTGCATCACTATGCTGCTAACATTTTTGTGTCATATTTAACATATATTAAGCTAAGTGTTATATGTGTCATTTTCAATCCAAGTTGTGAGTGTTCAAAGAATGCAAGGATTAGTCCTTTCTATCCTGTAGTTGGTTTACACAATTTGACTTTGGCATAGAATGTTGTTGAATCTTTGCTAACCCTTCTAACTGGAGTATTCTCTTAAGGTGAAGATCAAGTTCTCTCTCCCCTTCATACTTGCGCAATATTGACTCAGCTAAAGATTGAGGCAGTAGAAGAAATGAATATTGTAAACTTGAAAATAGCTTCATGGAAAGATGTCTCATATTTATCAGCTAGACATTAATTCATTAAGCAGATAAACTTGTTTTTTCCTTCCTGGGCTTTATAATTTTAAAAATATCCCTGTATTGTATATTTCAAGATAGCCAGAAAAGAGGATCTTGAATGTTATAACCACAAAGAAATAATAAATATTTAGGTGATGATAGACATGCTAACTATTCTGATTAGATTATTATACAATATATGCATGTATTGAAAAAAAACGTACCCCATAAACATGTACAATGAAATAAAATAAAAAATATTCCTGTTGCTTTCAGTATGGTCACTATCAACTTTGACATTTTAAATAAAAAATAAGGTATAGTTAAAATCATTTCACAACTTTTTCCAACATTGTGATTCTTTTTGGCATTTTAGACAGGGAAGTCTGAATTCTCTTTTGGTAAGAATTAGAGTATTCTCTAATAAATAATTATAAATATTAATAAAGTATTAGTTCTCCTCTGGAGCAGTCACTCTTGTCTCCGTGCAAAGTATGGACTTAATCTTTTGTAGATCCTTAGGTGAATGCCAACAGTACCTAAGGGTAAGTTTTTTTAGGATATATCACTTTATCAACAAAATTTCTTTATAGGACTTCCTTCATGGGTTAGTAACAGCTACAAACCAGAAGAGCAAATATATTACATCATAACTTAATGTAATATTATTTTATGACTTAATAGCCATGGCCTTCAAGAAGAACCATGATGTAAAACTCAATTACCAAGTTTTTCTTCCTTGTAATGTAATAGCAATCCTTTAATTTTTTTTTTTTTAAGTTTTCTTTTTTTTTTTTTTAACTGATAATGTTGGTTGCTTCTGGCAGGGAAACT